TGAATAAAAATACAACGTAGCTGGAGTTTATTGTAAAGCATGGCACACTGAGGTAAAGCTTATCCCAGCTTGCACAGGGTACAATTCAACACAGTTGGAAGCAAAACAAGAAGAAATCCAACCACTGTGATGGCTGTTTGGAGACAAAGTTAGAGAGCCAAAGCTGAGTTGGTTTGGACGTGCAGAGGAGGGAGAGTGGATATATTGGACAAGGAATGTTGAAGATGGAACTGTCAGGCAGGAGAAAAGAGAAAGACCACACAGATTGTTGATGGATCTCTTCAAGGAGATCATGCAGAGGGTTGGTGTGACAGAGGAAGATGCTAAGGATAGGCTGAGACCGAGGCAAATGATCTGCTGTGGTGACCCCTAAACAGAGTAGCCAAAGGAGGGAGAACATGTTGTTTTCAGTACTTTGCAAACATGTGTACGTCCAGATTGAGCCGCATGTTCACACCATGATGACAACATTTATGGGAACCCTCACATACTCTCAAACACTGAATCAACAACACACACCACACACTATGTCTTGCTTAGATTTGAACTCTAACTCTATATTGCTCACTGAAATCAGCCACATAAACTAACAAAATCAAGCTAGAAAGAGTCTCTCATTACCTTTAGACAGACAAGCTAAAACTTCTAAACTCTCTAAACATACATTACTGATGTTTTAAAAATGACTGTAACAGTCATTTTTAATATAATGGTGTAATATGGGTGAGGTCAAAAAGTTTTTGTCTGAAGTTAAAATTCTAAACACTTAAGTGGGAACTGAAGTAGTCTCTGTGTCACAAAGTTTTTATCTGCATTATCAGTGCACTGTTTTAGCTTCAAGTAGCTTCAGCAAACAACATTAAATTAATCTAGTCTATCTCTGACATCAAATCAAAGAATACGTGGTTCAAAGGTGAAATATGATTTTGGTTTGTTGTTTCCCCCCCCCCCTGCACACTATTAAAATTGCACATTCTGAAGAGGTACAGATGGAGACACTTTGGTTTCTGCAGAGTTTTTGCAGGATTCATCAGCAGCTTTGAGCAGTCTGTCAGCGTGTATGTGGACAACTGATTTAATATAACCACAACAACATCCTCAACTGAGGGACTGACAGTAGAATTGACCATTTAACTGTGAAACTATGGTATGTAATTAAATCACGCTTCTCTTTCACACCAACCCTCTTCCTGTCCTTGACTACATTCATAATCTCCAGTGAGGTCTTCCTCTTTCCCTTTTGCCTGGCAGCTCCATCTTCAATATCCTTGGTCTAATATAGCCACTATCCCTCCCTCCAAACCGTCCCGACTTTGTCCCTGTGATGTACTCATTTCTAATCCTGTCCATCCTGATCACTTTTCTCCAAGCACTCTCTTCTTCACCTCTCTTGTGCCCTGTCTGGTCCTTTGGATTTTTAACCAGTGAAATACTGAAATAATGCCAGTATATTAAAAAAAAAAATCATATTTGTCTTCTTCAATTTTGGACATAATTTATTAGCAAAAAAAGAGACAAAGCCCAAAGGAAACAAAGTGAGAGGGGAAAAAAGAAGAAGAAAGAGAGGTTCTGGTGTTGGGTGTACTTTTACTGCAAGTGCTGACACAGGCAGAAAACAGATGAACAAGCAATTCAAATCAAGCACGTGATGTTTTTCCTGGATATTTTGACAGCCTGATTTACTGACAACACTACAAAAACCAGCCATTTTAACTGCTGTAATTCACAGTTTATTATTAAATTAAACAAAAAAAGTCACTGTTGATGTTTGACTTTTTTTTTTTTTTTTAAAATTTGGACCATTTAAAATATGTTTATTGAACTGTGATTTTAGATTTGTTGCAATTATTGCTACCCCTTCGCCAGATTTATCTTGAAGGAAAAAAAAACATTTTTTTTATCTGAGATTGAAAATGTCTCTTGGATAAATAAAGTTATATAAAACACATAAATTCTTCCTTGTGACAGAAACACATTTATTTTCTGTCTCAGACTGTAGATTTTAGGTCAGCAAGTCATTCAGCGCAGTTTCACTTTTGGGACTTCGCCTGTTGTTTTACCTGTAACAGAGGTGCAGTCTCTTCGGTGTCCTGGGCGGTGCGTTCACGGACCACGTCCACATCGTTGTTGATGCTCATTGTGGGTGGGGAACCGAAGCGGGAAACAAATGTATTAGCGTAAAAAAAAAAAAAACAACTCGCAGATTGAGAGGAGACGGGGAGCCGCAGAGTTACGATACCATCTCAAACTCTCCTCCTCTAAACTTGTCAGCTGATCACTGTTGATGTTGAGTCACGTGCCTCTTATTTCCGTCGCGTTCTACACGTCAGAAATCACACCGTGCAATCAAAATGCGAGTCTCTGCTCGCTTGGCCAATCACCGCTCGACGGTGGTCGACGTCTTATGACGTAGTTCAAGCATGCCTGTGATCGGAGGATGTTGAGGTGAGCTGTCTGGATCTGAAGTTTATCGTTAGTGGTTAATTGTATACTTTTGTTTTAAGCTTTGTTCTGATAATTTGAATGTTTTTTTCTTTTCTGGCTGATTATTACGGCGTTATTATGTTCGTAGGTTTCTCGGCAGGATCTTTGCATCTGCACAAACTCAAAGGAGCCTGAATCCTGCCGCTGTGCACCGCTGCTTTTGCTCTGCAGCGTATCCTTGCTTGGCTGTGAAGCCCATAATGGAGCCTAAACTGTACCGACCCCCTCCAGAGGTCCGGGGTATGACCTCTCTGGACAAAGACGCCTTCACACAGACTATTACAGTCCCTGCTCTACGGGTGCCCATTGGGGTCTTAAACAAAGTAGTGAAAAGCCTAAAAAAGTCGAGCATCCAGCGCCCTGGTGTGCCCAGGGTGGTTCAGGACAAAGAGCAGAGTAGTGACTTTCGCTTGGTCCTGTTGGACCCTCGCAGAGTCTCCTCGCCGAGCTCCTTCAGTGAGACTGAAGCTGAGGCTCTGAGGTCGTTCAGTGTCAGTGAGGAGCTCCACTACTATGAGCTGAAGCTGACCTATGACAACCTGAAGAGCGAAGAAGTGCTGGAGGCTGTGCTTCCCCAAGGTCAGGATGTGACCTCTGCGTTCAGTCGGGTGGGCCACATCGCACACATGAACCTGAGGGACCACCAGCTCACATACAAGAACCTCATAGGTGAGAGGCTGCTGCTTGGATCGGGGGAGGTTTTATTACAAACTGAAGTATCTACACGTCTTTCTGCTTATTTATTCACTTTATTTTTTTAATGTGTCACCCAAACTTACCAAGATTGGTGCTAGTGAACTGATGTGGGTACCCCTCTCTGCAGGGGCTCTGTGTCTTAAAATGTCAAAATGACAAGTAAATACAGCTAACAGAAACAGTGGATCAGATGGGATCACCCATCATTTCCAAATTTACAGTAAGGCTTCTTTTCTGTGCCTTCTCTTGCAGGTCAGGTGATCATGGACAAAAATCCTGGTGTCACCTGTGTGGTAAATAAGATGAACATAATCGATTCCACTTACCGCAACTTTAAGATGGAAGTGCTGGCTGGAGAGGAGAACATGGTCGCCAAAGTATGTGTAGTTCCACAGAGCCCCGTTTCACACTTGTTGTTATCACATATGTTCAGTGCACAGGCTAATTGCTGTCCCGATCCCGATCCAGGTGAAAGAAAACGGGGTGACGTACGAGTTTGATTTCTCTCGCGTGTACTGGAACCCTCGGCTGAGCACAGAACACCAGCGGGTGGTGCAGCTCGTCAAGCGCGGCGACACTGTGTTTGACGTCTTTGCTGGCGTCGGACCCTTCGCCATCCCAGCTGCACGCTTAGGTGCCAGCATTTTAGCCAACGACCTTAACCCAGAGTCCTACCGATGGCTGCAGCACAACTGCAAACTCAACAAGGTGGAGAGCAAAGTCAGAGCCTTCAATCTGGACGGCAGGGCGTTCATCCGGGGACCTTTAAAGCAGGAGCTGCCTGTACTGATGAGGGGAACATCTGCCGTTCATGTGGTGATGAACCTGCCTGCCTTAGCTTTGGACTTCCTGGATGCGTTCAGGGGCCTCCTGCACCACCAGGAGCCTCCTTGTGATGAGAACCTACCTACAGTGCACTGCTACGGCTTCTCCAAAGATGATGACCCTGACACAGATGTGGTGGAGAGAGCTTCCCGCAGCCTCGGATTCCCTCTGAAGCACCGATGCTCTGTGCATTTTGTGCGCAACGTGGCTCCCAACAAAGATATGATGTGTGTGAGGTTCACACTCCCTAAAGACGTCCTCTTTGGAAGTGATGCTGAAGAGTCAGGTAAGGAATCACTCCTTATGAGGTCTTCAAAAAAAAACAACAACAAAACAGCCTAGCTGATTCTGAGGGGATGGGAGGAAAGACCTATATACAGTTTATAGCAAGTGGCAGATAGGGATTTTTCTAAAAGAAAAGGCTCAAACATCCCATAAATGCAGGAAGAAGAGGCATTGAAAATAAACAAGAGGAAAGCATGTTTGTCTTTTATTATGAAACTATTTCCTCAGTTTTCTTTCATAACATTTTAAGTTCCCACTTAACTTAGACATTACTTAGCCCATGGTGTGAATTTTGCATGCATGGGGATGATTTCTGTACCATAATTTAGACACAATTAAAAGTAAAGCATGAATACTTGTGTTTGCGCTGTTATATGTGCTGAAATTCCAGAGCTAATTTTCAACGTTGGCACAGAGATGGTTTCTATGATGTTTTTTTCTGTTTGTCTACAGAAGCCATTGAAGAGCCAGCCTCAAAGAGACAGAAGTGTGAAGAAACTACAAATGCAACGTAAGGATAAATATCGACTTGGCACAATGAGGACCATGAGGATCAGCGTAGGAGCTGACTTTATTTTTTGCCCTTAAATATTGTTTATTTGAAGAAGTCACGGCTCAAGTCATTTGCATTTTCTTCTTTTCTTTTTCTTTTTTTAAATTCTGGCCTGCGTTTAATTTTAAAATAAATCTGCAAAATGACAGACAAAACCTCAGTGTTCATTGCCATTTATTTAAAAAATAAAGTTTGCACAAAATTTAAAAAGTTACATACAACATACATATAAGTCAGAGCACTCCCCACCCACAGCAGCGTAGTGGTAGTAGTGCAATATTTAAAGTCTTTTCAGTCACATTTCTAACTGGAGCAGCTTCTTCAGCCTTTCAGAGGGAACAGCCCGCTGAACGCGTCCTGGATGGCGCGATAACACGCCAAAGCTGAGGTGTATCCTCCAGCTGTGTCCTGAGTCACGGCGGCCCGCACGTGATTCAGATACCTGAGAACAAACAGAAAGCTCTGCTGAGTAACGCAGGTTGGATATGTTAGAAATAATCTGCCTGGCCGGCACCCCAAAGGCTGCTTTTAAAGACTCTTTCTGTGAATGTAGCCTGAGTTTAAGTTTATTTTTGAAGGTTTTTTTCCCCCTCCTCCTTCTCTCTGGTACCCTTTGGCCCTTTGATGAGATCAGCAAAGACGGACGTAGACATACACCAACAGTGGAACACCTTGTGCCTAAAAGCCTCTCCGACATGGCTCTATTAAAGTATTATAGCCGTTTTTTATTTTTTCTAAGTGCTTACAGATGTATCCTGCCAAACCTCCTTTGCGGGGATCTTAAGCAAACGCGAACGTCACTGTTTATTTTCACAATCGTGCACAGGCAGAAAAAACAGTCACAGTGATAGCTGCCTCTCTACTTAAGTGCTCCGTCCCTTCCCAGTCGAGTAATTTCTCAAGTGTGTATTGTGCGCTTAAAAAGCGAGCCGTACCGTTTTCTCTTTCGTGTTACTACAAAGCAAAAAAAAAAAGCAAAGGCCGCCAGCGATCCAGACAACACGTAGCCTTGCCCATCAATACTGCCCAAACCTCTCACGCCCCCCCGTCCTGCCATAGTCCTGGCAGAGGCGTCTAAAGCCCTCACACGAGTCTGGCTTTGTGGCCCCTGTTCCTGTGAGCTCGGGAAACTTCAAAGTGAAAAGTGAATCAAGAGCACAGACAGCACTCTGATTTCCATGCTCATTCAGGCTGCTTTACAGAGAAACCTAACACCTGCAGGGAGGCTCAGAGAGACTGACAGAGCCGAGGTGTATGTGAATGAGAGATGGATGAGGGGGGAAAAGGTGTTGGCGATAACACTCGCTGCATAGATCGGATTTTGCTTTCTGTTGTTCCTAAGAACCCAATAAAAACATTGAAAATGAAGGTGAAACATGCTTGGTAGCATGTCTGTGACATTAAAAACACAAACACCTCACAACAGAGTGAAAATAACAAGGAGGACAGCACAAAATATCAACCAGATGGCGCACGCAAAGACCACTAGAGAAACGGCACACAAGTTCAAAACAGGAGGCCCAGTGATTAATAATAACTTCATTAGGCCCAAGCTGCTGTAGCCTGTCCTTCAGAGCACTTGAGGGAGGTCTTCTCATATGGCTTCCTGCATCAGATGAGTGCTATCTATTGATTATATTGTACTGGGCCTTTTTAATGGTGAAAAAAGTGGGCTATTTACAGCCTGGCTAAGTCTGCTCTTCCTGCTAATCTAATCCCCAAGCTACTCATGTGGTCATTCCTTCCAAGAAAGCTGAGAGCTCTGTGTAACTTTATACCTGCCTGCCCCTAAGGAGGGAGAGAGAGGGAGAGAGCGCAGAAAGAGAACATGAAGGAGAGGGAGGAAGAGTGTAGTTGTGGGGGTTGGGAAGTGGAAAGAGGAAGGAGGGGAGGATATGGGGGGAAATCACCTTTGGGTATCATCATCACAAACCCTCTTCTCTTAAACTAACCCTGCCTGCCCTCCGCTCACCCCTAACACCCGAGGTTAGTTCAGTTCTGCTCCATTAACTCGGCGGATAATATCCGCATCTTCCCATAAAGGCTAGATGTAAGTGAAGCTGAAAGATAAACTTCACATGACTGTACTTGACAGGACAGACCAGCAACAGAAGACGTGCAACAACAAGAATGCTTTTTTTTTTTTTTTTTTTAGCCAAACACCAACTTACGAAAAAAAAAATTACTTGTGAAACAGACACTTTGCTCCCCTCTGAACACTGCTGCTACACTGTGTGCACCAATGCTCCTTCACCCCATCAGCTCCCCCCCCTCCTCTCTCTCCGAGGACTGGACTGCCTTTTGTTTCGCAGGGCGCTGAAACCCAAGCCGTTTCGGCCGGTAACATCTTTCACTCTCCGGGCCCCACTGGAGCATTAGCTGCAACTCGATATGGGTCTTTTCAAAGCTTCGTATTATTGGGTAAATATGGGTCACTTTGGGCTCGCCCATTATGTCGCTAAGGGGGAGGCGGGAAAGGACGGGTGCAGGTGATGAAGACGACTGAATGACACAGTATGACACAGTGTGAGTGTTAGGACTGCAGTTGTCACAAGGGAATATGTAAAGGGTGGTCGAGGTTTGACTCCAAGGAGTGATGTATGTTATTTTCTCCAACAAAAGTATCATGACTTTAAGTAAACAATACTGTAATATTCCCCATATGGAAAACTCCTTCACATACAAGTCTAAGAGTATAATTTACACGAAAAGGTGGAGCTTTTGCAGTTTTCTCACACAGCAAGATTACTTGATTTCTTTTAGCATTCACAAAAGCATAACAGCTGATAAGTGCTTGCATTATTTTTCAACCTCTGACTCTCACCATCTGCTGCTACCCTTTGCTTTAAGAAGCCATGTGCGGTTGGATCAAAACAGTTCAGAGTTAACAGTGGGGTTTTTTTCCACTTGGGTCTGGAGCTCTGAATACCTGGGCAATGTCTCCTGCTAATGCTAATAACCATCAGAGGCTTTCCTGACGGGACCCCGAAAAAGTATTCTCCACTCCTGCTGCCTGGAAAACACTGCAGAGCCCCATCTCTAATTCAAAGTGAAAAGATAAGTGGTGAAATGTTCCGGCGGGTTTCCGCGTGATTTCCAGCTGAGAATGTGTGGCTCCTCTTTGCGTTTGGATCAGGGACGCCGCTCCCGAGCGAAGGGTGTTGGGGTTCTTCAGGGAAATGGCTGCGAAGCTGGGACCCTGAAGGGGAAAAACTACAGATACTACAAGGAGGTGCAGGCTGCGCTGGGCCTCTTGTCTAGACTCCATGTGTTGGCTAGAATTAGATTAAGAGGAGATGTGTGGAAGCCTGAGCTTGATGGAAAAGAAAAGAGGCCTGTAATGCCACAGTGACTATTTCGCCAAGCAGACACTTAATCAACATAAAAACCACAAGGCGGACGCACATGACAGAAGAGCAATCTGAATCAGCCTTAAACAATGCTCACTGCAGACCACTCTGTGTGGTTTGGCTGCTTTCATACATTCTTGTTTACCATATGGCAAGTTTAAGGAGTGAAACAGGCTCCTACATACATGAAATTCTCAAGTCTTGACTTCTTCCTACACGACTGACCTGAGAGCAGAGCTCAGACTGACACCTGTCTGATTTTACAGACCTATCGCTGATCCGGGGTCACCACTTGTTTTTACAGCACCAAAGATCAGACGCTTTCTGGATTTAGCCTGTCGTCAACGTGAATCACGGCCCAAACAGGGTACAATGACTTTCAGGCTGCCCGGGAGATAAACTCTGTATTCAGCTGAACCGACACTGGAAGAGGGAAAAAAAAATAACATCTACAGATAAATCAATAAACTCTACCCCGTCTTGCTCCAAGGACTGGAGCCTCATTAGCTATGTTTATTAAAGAGATGGAGCTTAAACTTTGTGTGTTGAATACACAAAGAGGGCACGGGGCAGGCTACTGCGTACTTCTAAAAGACAAGTCATGAGTCTGCAGGGCGACGGTGTGAATGTCCGGAAGTCTTCCTTTAGCGCTTTGCTCCGGCAGCAGCAGTTGAGGATTCCTGGCCTGGGAATGATGGGAGTTTGGGTGGGTAAGGGGGGTGGGGGGGTGTACAGAACCACACACCTGCCAGATGATTTGTCATTATAGAGGGGTCAGCACTCAGCTGTCACCCCCTAATCACCCATCCAACCCCTCGAGTCACCACCCCCCCACCTCCACCTTCACCCACTAAACTCCACTCTCCAGTCCTCCCAAAACACCCCCTGCATTCCTCAGGCAGCTCCGGTTTCACTCACAGCACTGCTGCTCAATCTGCCCCTCCTTCCCTACACTCTGCCCTGAGAGAAAATGTACCCCTGTGAGAGAGAGACACAGCACACTGAGCGCATTGTGTGGATGTGCGATGCGTGCTCATGCCCCCTGTGTGCGCGTCTACACGATTCACATCTGCTTGAATACATGTTTATCCAACGGCAGAGCTGTTTGTATCGATACCGAAAGCGAACCGTTGGAGCCGAGTTTTTAAACCAGAGGCGAATGTGTGAATTGGTCCAGGCTGTGGTCTAAGAAACAAAACCCCCGCAGACAAGCCAAACACAGAGAACTCTCACAGGTATACTATATCTGTCAACAGCAGTCTTTCATCACTGTGGGTCATAGGTCACACTCTTTTCCATTGAATGCAGCTTCCTCTGGGACATGCAAGTGTGTGTGAGTGAGATCCTCGGCCATTATTCTATCCACCGTCTACCAGATTATCTCAAGTTGTGCTCCGTGAGTGTGTCTGAGGGGGGCTCAGTGCGGTTACGTCATATCCTCAGACGCATACAAACCCCTTATCCATTATCATGCGTCTTATCATCACCACTGATAGTCTCTGCATCCCACAAGAAAGGAGGAGAGGGAGGAGAGTATTGCTAACACTTACTTTCTTAAGGAGAGAGCATGTTTAGAGTGTTAACAGAAGCTTTGGGTGACACTTGACATTAACGCTTATAGAAATACATTCTCGTGTGGAGTGACTGACAGCCTGTCCTCGAGAAGGCAGCTTGTTACTATCAGTGATAATTAAGAGGTGCGCTTGTTTTCATTATGAAGGGCAGCATTGCTGAGGTGGCCACCATAAAAGCAGATAGTGCAACTTCTGCCCAAATTCAGCCACACTTCCTGGACTAAGCCATCACCTGTCACGACTCATCTTGAGCTCTTAGGTCTTGGCCCTGCACCTCCTATATCCAACCTGATGGGGGCAATAGAGGCTGGCTGACTGGCTAGGTCGCCACCTTCACAATTAATTGCAGCAGCCTTGAGAAGTGTATAAGCATCACACACACACACACACACACACACACACACAGACAGACACACAACCCTTAAGCCACTGACACACAGAGCATCTTTCTTTTGTCTCCCGAGCTGCTACTTGATAACTTTGCCCCCTGGAAAGCTTAGAAGAAGAAAGAGGGAGAG